AATCTTGGTATAAGCTAAAGATATCATTTAATGTCTTTTTACCATCAAAAATAGATATGGCACATATAAAAAAAAAGATAATTTTTTTTTTGCCACATGCATAAAAGCTCTCTCATCTACTAATAAGAATTTAAATGTAATAGACTTATGTATTTCTATTTGATTAACAAAATTTTGGATTAAACTACAAAAAAATTAAGATTATAAGAAATCTAATCAAATTGAGGATTATAATTTTTTAATCAAAATAATCCTAAAATAATCGGATTGAAAGAAGATCTTATCACATTAAATATTATTATATTATTATGATCATTAATTGTTATATCTAAATGAACAATCTTCTAGATAACATCTCTGAAAGACAACAAACAACCATCTATGACTTCTACATATATGGATTTAATTTTTTTGACTAATAATATTTCTTATTTTTAGATAAAGTCTTTAATTATAAAACAAGTTGAGGCTTTTAAATCTAATAAGGCAAAGACCTTATAATTTTTAAGTCCTAAATACATATCTATTATAAAATAAAGTGAAGGATTTGAAGAAAAAATATGATCTTTATAAGTTGTTGCAAATGATTTCAGCCACACAGTCTCTATTATAGCTGAAAAAACTTATTTTTTAACACATTGTCTTCTTTTAGCAACCATGCTTCTCATTTTGTGATTGCATTTTTTTTTGGATAATTTTAAATAATGTGCTTAGCTTTTCCATAATATAGGTATAAATCTTCTTAACATTAATTTTTTTTTTAATAAGAAGTTTAAAACATATCATATCAATTTGAATTAATTCCAATCTTGATGAATAAGTTTTTTAAAACTTAGAAGCTACTGTCATTACTTGATTTACTCATTTCCAATCAAAACTTTGTTCTTGATACCTTTTAAATAATTAATTATCACATCCAATGGCTTGAGTAATAAATTATTAATAAAATAATCTTCTTTTAATATTGTCAACAACAAATCTTTGATGTTATTCTTCAACCCATATCAAAATTGATTGATAAGGGCTTTGTTATTCTAATCCACGTCACAAGCAAGATTTTGGAATTTAGTAGTATATATAGTAGTTAGCCATGACTTGTATTGTAAAGATAAGAGTTTGATCTTTGCTACTCTTTCTTCATCACTTTTTTCAAATGTGGCCATAAATACTTCTAAGAATGAATTCAGATCATAAACAAATCATGAATATTTTTCTTTCAAATGTACAAACCAAAAGAAAGCACTACCACATAGAAGTGTGCCTATAAATCTAACTTGAATAAATCCATTAGGATATTAGAAAAGATATAATCTTAAATAAGACTTAACATGTTACAAAAATCCTCAAAATTTTGATCTTCTTCTATCAAACTTCTTAAGCATACTAATCTTTGGCTCTCTTATACTTATAAAAATAAGTCTATTTACATGTGATTATAAGGTTGATCTATTTGCTTCCTTCAATTGTACAATTTCTTAGTGTAGATTCTAAACATATTCTATAGGATTAGAAATAGTCCTTCTATGGTTGCTATTAGTGATATGTGAAATATTCACTTTAAGAGTGTTAACAAGCTAGTAAAGATCTATAATAGTTGCAAATCTATTTCACTTCTACCAAGTATAGCATCTATATTTTTTCTTTCTATTTCAAATAATTTAGTTAATCCACATATCAAATTAGAGGAAGATAATCTGTAATCTTTAATATCAAATGGAATTTTTTATAAAGAAGAATAATCTACTATCTTGAAAGAAAAAATTAGTGTTAGAAAAATAAATATTAGTTTAAGATAGATAGTTTATAACATTCAAAATATAACAATATAAGTAATATAGTCCACTCACTTCTAAAAATTAGACTTGAATAATTAATTGGCACTTTTATCAATCTATCAAAAATAAGAATACAAAAAATGATACATAAATAAATGAGATAAGTATTATAATAAAATAATAAAATAACATATATATATATATATATATATATATATATATATAAGAAGAAATTCGAATGACTATTCCTAAAGATTAGAAATCTAGAGACTCTTTAAACTTAGAGTAGAAGCCAAAACAAAATTGGGAGAAGTGAAGAAGGCTTTACTTTTGCTTCTATATATACTATCTACTTAAGAGCTATATGACAATGTATCAAGAACAAGAACTTGATGAAAGTAAATAAACAAGTATAACAAAATAGAAATAAAGAAGTATGTATATTAAAAAGAAACTGAAATGACTATTACAAAAAAAAAAAAAAAAAAAAAAAAAAAAAAAAAAACGAGAGATTCTTAAATCTAGACTAGAAGCAAGAAAAGAGTTGACAAGAGTGAAAAGAGCTTTACTCTTGCCTCTATATATATTATCTAATTAGGAGCTACATGGTGATATTCTATATGACTTCTAATATGTGTCGACTTTGCAAGACACATGCTTTAGTTTACAAGGCAAGTTTTTTATGTGTGTGCTACATAATTAGCTTATTCTTTAAACTACCAACATATGTGACACATGGCTAATTTATTGACCACTTTTCTAACCTTAAAAATCAATTATTGACACTTATAAAGTCAAAACAATGTCTATGAAGCTTCTAGAAAGCTTCTATAGAAGATATTTTGGAATTAATCTACTTTCAACTAATTTTATCTTATCATATAGGTAATTATTGGTTTACATGTATATATTCGTGACACAATATTTAATAAGATCTCCAACATGTGTCCAATTTACAAGACATATGTCTTAATTTTTAAGATAAGTTTCTTATATATGCACCACATTGTTAGGTTGTACCACAAGTTATCAATATGTGTGATATGTGGCCAACTTTTTGGTTAAGTTTCTAACCTATCAATTACCTTTAGACATGTATAAAGGTGAAATTGCATCTATAAAGCTTCTAGGAAGCTTTTCTATAAGATATTATCAAATTAATCTATTTTTATTTATTTCTACCTATTCATATTACTTAAATAATTATTAAAATAAATATGTTTGTGTTACTATATTATGCAGATTTTGGAGATGTTTTTCTAGTATCAAAGAATGGAGTTAGGAAATTCAAATCCTTATGCTCATTAACTTAAGCCCCAATCAAGTAGCAAGTTAGAAAGAGGTAGTTCATAATAATACCATTCTTGTACAAGGCCTTAAGGATCAAACCAAGCTACTGATGATTTTAAAGAATATGTCTAAAAATTGTACTAATTCCATATGTATTTCTTTGTTTTAGAAATAATGTTTATTTATACATCATAGGCACCAAAGGTTCAAGAAAGTAAGCCATATTTGGTTACTACTTCATAATATCATTACTTGGGCCTTGCAGATTGAGACGAATGACTCAACATTTATAAGTGTACATTCTTCGTCAAAGAAATTATATTGCTAGATGTGGCTACAGCTTGTGGACTACAGTAGGAATGTGTGGCTCAAATCACAACACAATATGCAACATACATCCTTACAAGTGGAAGAACACACTCAAAAGTTCCACCAACAGTGGTGTGGAAATGACACTTTGGCACCCTGGCAGCAGCACAAACTTGTGTAAAAACTTGTGGATCCTAGTTGGAGTCTTGTATTTTGTAACTCTTAATTTACCTGGCAGGACCTGATTGAGGCTTGTTGGCCGCACAATCTAATGAATGAACTCTTTACCAAAGGCACACAGCAAGTGGAGGATTGTGTGTTTCTGGTTTTACCTTCACTTGCATTTGTCACCACTGGAAGTATCACAAAGAGTGAGCTGATGAGGGTATATTCTACAACAATCGCCAGCTATTAATTTTTTTTTTTACATGTCCACAACCTCAACGTAGAAACCTCGAACTGACAATCCTCCGATTGATCCACTTCATTGGAGTGGATGTCGGAAATGGTTTGAGATTTTTTCACTATATTTTTCAATTGGGTTAATCCACCATAGTGTTGTGATATTACATGAGTTCATTCTCCCTCGCTTCATTCTACTTGAAGAGAAAGCTAAGACTGTGACGTGTTTGGCTCCTTCTAGACTCCTCGGGAAGACTTCAATTATCATTTATTAAAGCCTCCAAGCTGATTGTAAACCGAGTGTTATTCCACTAATTGAGAAAGAAATCAACACTGCACTCTCAGCTCATCCTCCCCGAACTCAAGCCCGGAAAACAACTAAAAATCAGATTGACCATCTCAGGAGCTTTAAATGATCAATCTCCTTCTTCTTATTTTACCGATTTCTTTAAATATGAGCAGTTTGTATATCCAATACAGTCTTCAACATTTTTGTAGTGCAAAGCTGTAAAATGCATTTGAATTTTCTTACAATTTTTTTCCATGTGATCTTTTTAACTAGTTTTTAATTATTTATTTATTGATGTTACAGCTATTATGTGTTTAACAAAGTAGTATATCAAGTTTGCTATTTTTCTCTTAGCTTTTCCCAAATGAAGTTGCACACTAATACGTATTACTGTTAAATGAAGTTGCATACTAATACGTATTACTGTTAAATGAAGTGGTAGTTATTTTGCAACCGATCTGCATCTTTGATTGATGCTTGTTCTTGTTGTTGGTTCCTCCTAAAGTCATCTATCTATCATCACATGATAACAAGTTGTCATTTTTTGCAGAACAATTTGTCACTAAGATTTCCTAACATTCATGACCATTTCATTTTGGTAATATGTTCCACAAGCAAAAATGTTATATATATATACATATATATCCGATCTATAAAAATCATTTACATGTACATGTTCTTTTCATAGTGTTATAATAACCTCTTTCCATACCATTAGTGCACAACTGCGCAAAATGTCACAATAATTCCTTTCTACAGATCAATCAATGAGGTTTTCATCTCTGGATTAAACAAGTGCATTTAGTAGGTGCCCATGATCCAGCTGGAGACCTCAACGTTTGCGATTGGAAACTAAGACCGACAGATGAAGATGTTCCGAAGACGAATAAAAGACACTGCATTTCATCAATTCGAGCCAGAAACTGAACGAATGAATGAAGAAGACTTGACCTAATTCTTCAGGAGCCTCCGATCGGAGACTTATAAGGCGGCGATCGCCTCCGAGAGAGTCTTCTCAATTAGCACCACGGTGACGACGCAAAGTTTTGCTGAGCCCGAGTGCAGCCTCCAAGATGCAGATCTTCGTAAAGACCTGTAAGTATTTTGTTTCTGTACAGTTTGACAATGATTTGGCGTAAAATTTGGGTTAGTGTGTTGGGTTACTCGTTTCTTTTTTCTTTTTTCTCTCTAGGGTTGTGGCTAGATCGGCTGTGTCTATTGTGTTTTAAGTCGTTGGGGGGAGGAGTTGTTTTGCGTTTCGCTGAGTTGGGTTTGTTGCTGTTGATGATTTGCAGTAACGGGGAAGACTATTACCCTTGAGGTGGAGTCTTCGGATACCATCGACAATGTAAAGACGAAAATTCAGGATAAGGAAGGAATCCCGCCCGACCAGCAGCGGCTCATCTTTGCAGGCAAGCAGCTGGAGGATGGGCGCACCCTTGCTGACTATAACATCCAGAAGGAGTCTACTCTTCATCTGGTGCTCCGCCTGCGCGGTGGTGCCAAGAAGAGGAAGAAAAAAACCTACACCAAGCCCAAGAAGCTGAAACATAAGAAGAAGAAAGTCAAGCTCGCGGTGCTGCAGTTCTACAAGGTGGACGACTCTGGGAAGGTGCAGCGCCTCCGCAAGGAGTGCCCCAACCCGGAATGCGGAGCCGGAACCTTCATGGCCAATCACTTCGACCGTCACTATTGCGGCAAGTGTGGTCTGACTTATGTTTACCAGAAGGCTGGTGCAGAGTAGAGCTCTTTACTATATGTATCAGGCTGGTTGTCCGTAGGTTTGAGCTCGCATGTGCTGGTGTCATTCGAGGCAGTTTATTTCAATCGAATTTTAACGTTTCAGGCAGCGTGATCATCTATCATTTCGAACAATGAATGATTATTGTGTGAGTGGCGTTTCAAGACCCTGTCATATAGTTGTTCATTGCCATCATGCTTCGCATTACCGAGGATTTGGCCTGCTTTGTTCTCTCGTTCCTCACCCGCACAATTGTTTTACATCGTTCCCGGACGGAAAACAATTTCAACATAGTCATATTTAGAGCCTTGACCCACCACAATATTTCTGTACTCAGCTTGGTACGAAATAACTACAATATCCGGTGTTATCAGTTTTACCTTCATTAGTTACTAATTAGGTCAAGTTGAAGGTCATTGTATTGGTAATTTTGTTCCGAGTCTGACAAGCTCTTTACATCGTACAGCAGTGGAGTATGTGTGCACTATGGTTACTTGGCTAACTTGCTGTATATTATGTCTTGATGTGTCCACCTAGTGCCGTATACACCGTGGACTAAACTTCTGTGGCGTGCTCTTCATCATTCCCCAGTATTCAATTTCTGTAGTAACATCTGAAATGCCTTTCATTTCTGATTGGAGAAAGTGATTGATCTAGAAAAATTAAATTGCTCTCGGTAAATCATGCTGGTGCGTTTACTTTGAAATGGTACTGGTGAATGGCTTACTTAGATTGAGGTAGAAACAATATCAGCATTTGCGCTCACAGTTCATCCATGACGACCAAGGCATTTAAATCATGGGCAGTGTTAAATACGCTACTGTGTACGATGAGCTCTAACGACACTATTTCACTGACATTAGAACCGCAATACGCATCAGGATGGTATTTGTGACAATTTCGCTTGGAACAAAGCTGAATGAGACAGAACCGATCTCCAAAGTGAAAGTTTCGGACTGGATATCTATGCATCTTGTCCGTGAGGAAAGCCAACCAGCCTACGAAATAATGAATGAAGCAGTGCCTAGTTACCGTATAGACATGTACTTTGTCGAGAAGGTTCAGGAGTCTACTTAATCATTTTGCTGGGAAATCCGTGATTTGTTCTAAGATAATCTGATGCTAGTTCTAATTGAGTTCGATGTATATAATACGAAAATGTAGTTGTGAATAGAGCAAGGTTGGAGGAGCTGAATTCTTTGGAGATGAAATGTGCCTGGCTTATACATCGTTCGTTGGATAGGAATACCGGTCGTCATTCTTCACGTTGATTATTTCCCCGAAATTCTCTATTTATCGATCACAAGCCAAGTTGAATACGAACAAAGATGAAAGAGAAAGGAAAAAGCACAACAGACAAAGACATACCATCATAAGCATAAGTTTGGAGTACATCAAATTCTACATGACTCACTCTTCTTCCAAAATGAAATCATAGCATCTGTTGCACTAGACATTACTGAGAACTAGGTACTCATTGTTTGTGTTGAAGGTCAGCAAGTACTTGCTTAGTTACAACCACATAGAGATTAAGCATAGTATGTTGCTAATAGTCAAAAGACAGCAAAGAGTTAAAGCAAGTTATTGTGGTGGCACCAAGGGTTTGTAGGTGGTGGCTAGGTTAAGAAAGAACCTAGGATTTAGATAGATGAAATAGAAATGTATGTGATTTCAAAAAGATGGAAGTTGCCTAGTTGGTAAGTAAACCACCATCTATAAGTAAAGAGTGTTGGAAGTAAGAATTATCTTTCTCCACACTTCTCTTAGACTATAATCCTTGCTGATGCTAAATGTTCGTAGCTTTTAGACTTCTTTTCTTCAATAGTTTTCAGCCGCTTTTTCCAAAGTGGGAAAACAACTTGTCTATTTAGTACGGCTCTTTTTCAGTTCAAATCAATGTTCTAAATGCAGTGCCAGCACATGTGCAGTTCTATGAGAAGAGCTGTGTGGTAGGAAGGACCATTTCACATTCTCAAGCGTTGAGGTTGAGCAAACTTGAAGTTAAGAACAGTGAACCCTTCGTATTTCTCAGACTAAGATGATTCACCATTTACACATACCCAAGGAGAATTGATGACGAAATCTCGATGGCTTGGAACGATGTCAGAAGTAGTCTTTGTGGCTTTAAAAATCATTGAGAATATACTGGAATACTTAAACGCCTTTGAGCTAGAAAAAGTCGTGTTAGGTAAAGCGGATAATCGTGAAATCGAGCGCCCATCCTAGACGACAACAAACACACCTAAGATGACTAAGAATTATGATTATCACGCTGTAATCCGTTTATTGTAAAACATCTACTAATCCATCATGTCTTTTCTGGCATGATTGAACTGCCGAAGTTAATCGTGCGAGATTCAGTTCCTACTTCGAAAACCTCATGATCGAGTACTTCCATCTGTACTACCTTTTATCCAATTCCGTGGAATGGATCGGATGAGTCGGATGCTATGGAAATTCTCGAATCGTGGTTTCATCCAACAATAGGGCCAAACCCTGCAATGCGATGTTGTGGTTCTGGAGGAGTCCAAATGGGGACGGATAGATGTCGACTTGTCAAGCCACTACAATGAAATAAAAGAATATATGGAGATTTTTTTTCAATCTCTTGGGCTTTTTTCCGCATAACAATTTGGTTTATTAGCATAGGATCATTATTATTATTTCTTTTCTAGTTTATTCTCTTCTTATTTTTCGACATACCTTGAATTTAAGTAAGTGATGCCTCGGGATAATCGTGGTCAATGGCAGAACGATCGATGAAAGCAGCAGCAGCAGCAGAAGGAGGACCCCACAGTTTTTGATAGGACAGATATTGTCTGCACACCGGCACAAGGTCAATTAATCATCAGTGAATCTAACCGTGGAACCAGTCAGTACTCGGAGTTGTCGAAGTGCAGCGTGACAAATATAATAGTATCCCTAGATGGACTACCACGTCGGTCCTCCACCATGGTATCGTCGGTAAGAAAACACAGGCAAGATTCCAGTCTTTCTTGCACATGCTCGCTATTTTATGCTCCTCTTAGGCCTAGTCGTGAAGATGCTGTTGTAAGGTAGAAAACCGCCTCCGGTATGTGTCTGCACAGGCCGAGAAAGCGTGTTGGAGCGAGCTTGAAAGACTAGTTTGGGCAGGAGGGGTTGTCTAGATTCCTGGCTGGAATTGTCTCTAAGAAAGATGAATAACGTGATACCGTTAGGTCGTCCTCCATCAGGTTTGAGTGAGCACGGTTCACGCAGCGCACGGGTCAGTACTTCGGCAGGAACTAGTTCATCTTCACCTAGTGGGTCGTTAAGTATGACCGAAGTGAGCATTGATATTTCAGATCCGGGCCCGGATCCTCTCCCTTCGGGTTCGAATGAAACCGAAGCAATTAATCTGCAGTACATTCATGGTAACACCCGACTGAGACTAATTTTGCAAGAATGGGAGAGCAAGTTAAGGGATTCGCAAGATATAATTCTGCGGAAGCAGACTCTCAGTCTGAACGTGAAGAACGAAATCTATCACCTTATCGGATTCTTCAGTGTGTTCCAAGGTGTGGTGCTCACGACTGTCTCGCAGGCTAGCTTGCTATCTTGTCACAACTGGTGGGGGCCGTTCGCTTTGTCACTGTTGGCATCGCTCACAACCCTAGTCGGAGTCTGCCACAAGTTCTGGAACTTCATCTCGTGGAAACGTGCGGCCGAGGAGGAAATCGCAAACGCTAAGGTAATCTAACGACACATGCTAGCTTCCCTCATTCTTCCGACCAGTTTCTTCCTTGTTCTACACATGAACGCCTCATCAAACCCATTGACAGTACATTTCGTGCCACGGTAATGCTGCTTTTCGAGCTTCTGTTGCGATTCTTACAGTAACGGAACCGCTCTTGCGGTCAGAGCTCCTGGCAGCTCAAGACGCGCTCTGTGCGTCACTAGAAACCTCCATGTCAACAGCTCATTGAAAGCAACGAAAAAGCTGAGTTTGTAAAATAAAGATGCTGATAATGGTGTGGCAAATTCAGGTGTTGAAGTCGCAGATAGATAACCTGAAGCTACTTGGCAAGCGATTCACGTTCGCGAAGCACGCACCGGACGTGGAGCCCAAGCAGGACGAGGAAAAGACCTGTTCGAACTGGCTGTGTGCAGTCAATTCCTACTACTACTACATCGCACTCTTGGTGGTGGTGTCCATGCTGGGATTCTCGGCGATCATTCTCATCTCTTGTAGGAAAATTCTTTGTGATTCTGGATCCACTGCCTAGACGCCGAAGCCGAGTTCGCCTTGACAATGAATGTCTGGCACAGTTAGGCACTGCTCCGGAAGAATGTGATTGAATCCTTTTCTGTCTAGACAAGGAAACTGTTTCCTCTGCTTCATTGTCATCTTGTGTGTTCCGCTTCTACCCATTTTTTTGTACTTCGGAAACTAGCTAGCACAGCATTGAGAAGTATTTGAGAAGCGGAGCTACATGATTATTATCATTACTACCACGATTTTTACTTTTAATCGTATCTTTATTGAGTGATTAGGTATATACGTTGCGCTTCTGAAGAATTCCTTTGCTATCTGTTGTAATGTGTTGTTTGTTTGTTCTTGTTTGTTTACCTGGCAGAATGTTTCAGGAATGTGGGTGAAATGTGTGGTGCAGTGTAGGTCTCTATGTGGTATCGATTCTGTTTCCGTTGTTGTGTATTAAGCAAGTGTGTGTTGATGCAGGAACTTGGCTGTGTGTGTGTGTGTGTTCGTTTGTTCGAAGACAAAAACAAAGTCTCCTGTTTAATTTAAAATAAAAACTATTTGAAAAAGTATTGAGATTTAACAAAAAAATTGAATGATGAAGTAGTTAATTGTAATGGTAACTCAAAGAGCTATTCATATGTTGCTTGTAATTTATCATACAAAGAACTTAATCACATGTTTGTTGGTGTTACGAAAGTGTAATAAAAAATAGTTTAACTCCGGTTCTCATTATGACTTCATAAAAACTAGAGGAAAGAAAATCTATTGTTTCATACATCCAAGTATATACAATCCAATAGCCACAAAAATTTCATCTACTATCCACATAATTAAAATGTGTTATGCAAACTATGACACAGTAATCAAAACAATATCATTGGCTGACCATACTCCTTAGAAACTATTTTCTAACTCAAGATAGAACAAACAAAGCTCAAAATATTATTTTTTAAAAAAATAGATATTTGAATGCATAATTTTTTTCCAAAAATCAAAACAATCCTTCACAACTTGGAAACAGGTGTAAAAAACATTTACTTCTTGTGAAATCTAAAGCAAATCTGAGAATCAAACCATGAAGTATTAAAAAAAAAATAGTTCAAAAGCATCCTCAATTGCAACTCTTATAAGATGAGAAACAACTAGATATTGAATTAGTGAGAAAAAGACAAAAGAAATTAAAAACTAATCAACAAAAATATCTAAGAAATAATCAACAAATCACATATAATTTTCTTCTTATTTTAGCAATCTCAAAACATTGTTGCAAAGCAGACATTGATGCATGCATGGATTCATGAGTTCTTCTACATTGCTACTTTGAGATTTTGTCAATGCATTGATAATAGTTTTTCTTGTACTGATTACAAGCACATAATCTAGGTGCCAATTTTCAAGGCCTAAGATTCATGGTTGTGCCCAAGTGACACCATTCAATTCTCTTAAGATTTGTTATTTATACCACATTTATTTTTTATGAAATAAAGTTGATTTTTTATAGAAACAAATGCATTAGACTTTGCTATAGATGTAGTATAAAACATAGTTGGAAGTAGATAACAAACTTCATTTAATAGTTTTTTGTTTAAAAATAATTTTATCAATCAAGATTAATTACAAGATCCACAACAAAATACTTCTTGCAATTCTGAACTCTTTTCAAGAATAGCACCATTATCTAGTATCATGAACATATATATTTATCTGAATAAGAAGTGATAGGTAGAAGATAAATGTAGATAGATTTAATAATATCTTTTGGCAAAGTTTCTTAAAAACTTCATAACTACAGCTTTAACTTCATATGTGATTGTAGTTGATTGGTAGCTTAGAAACTTAGCCAACAAATTAGCCATATATTGCACATATTGGTAGCTTGTAGTACAGGCTTAGAATGTAACATTATCGTATTGTAACATGACTATATGGTGAAAATATGAACAAAAATGATATTATGATTTATACTCTATCATCTTGGTTCAATAATAATTCTAGACATTTAAATAAGACTTTTATGAAAGCCTTTTAGTTTATTTTTTGGTTTTAATTGCTAGTAGTTTAAAGTTGGTTAATAAATTTACCATTTAGGTTGTAAAAAATTCTTCTAGTGCCTTAGAAAGGTAATAAATTAGTAAAAATAAAGTAGATTAGATAAATATTTTATATAATCAACTCTAAAATGAAGTTAAGAATAGGATCATGCTAAAAAATTCCTAAAAAAGGTTAAATTGATATCTTGGAGATGACCATTTGTGGATCAGGGTCAAAATCAAACCTCTAGTTACTAAAACAATTGCTTAGGACAAATTAGGAGAGATTTTGGAGATTAAGAGTTAAATCAAAGAATTGACTTTAGACTCATTTTAGAATTATAAAGCTTGTTTTTATAGGTTTTGAGGTGGCTTCACAATTGTTGTGTAAAGTTAAGGTTTGTATTGGTGATTTTGAATTTATGCAATAAAATTAGGGTTAATACTATCAGTTGGTTTGTGAGATGCATATGACATATGTAGTTCAAATTTTGTTATTGGATAGTTGAATGGATGTGCTAATTATGTGTAAAAATTTGTATTATTCTAATGATGCAATTGAAAGATATTTATTTATTAATGAAAGGAGGTATCAAAAGTTGGCAATTTAGAATTGTGTAGGATTTTTGCAATATCTAAAGATCTTCTTATTGGAATAAGGAGAAATTTGGCATGGTTTTAGTTAACTAACATATTAAGCTGCACACCAATTTGGAGCTGAAGTTAATTGTTGGAGACAGAGAAATTATTGCTCAAATTTCATCATCAATCTTCAAATAGGCAATTGAAGGATACTAGAGTGGTTCTTTTGCATTTTTCTCATAATTTATAAGTTGAATTGGATTGAATTTTTTTGAGGATACAGAAGATGTATTTTTCACTAGTGTGCAAAATTTTGTACCAATTGGATGATTAAATGAAGAATTACGACTAATTGAAGTTCACTGCTTAAGATTAGGATTTGGAGAAAAAATGAGAAGTTACAAAAAAAAAGACAAATAATAAGACAATTAGGATTTGTATTTGCTTGAGGTAATTAAGAAGAGTGGTTTTGAGTACTTTTGGCTTTAAATCCTTTTGAATTCAAATTTCTTTGTTCTTAATAGTTGAAACCTATTATGATTTCTTAGGTAATTGCAACATATGACTTTACCTTCTACAATCAAGTGCCTAGTACATTTCCAAATAAGAAGATATGTAATACAATAATATGCATATAAAAAACTTGTCTTATAAGTTAGATACATATTTTATATATCAGACATGTGTCTTGTAAGTTACAACAAAGATCATATTTGGCCACCATATATGCTGTAGAATTTCAAAACCTTGCTTACAACATGGACTAAAATGACAAAGCTCTTGTTAATCAATTTTGATATAGATTGAAAGATAATATCAAAGATATATTATTAACAATACAAAGAACAAACTTATTTATATAATTTATTATTTAAGCCATTGCATGCAAGAATCCACTCTTACAAAGACATCAAGTATAAAGTTTTGATTGGAGAGGTACAAGTCAAGTCATAGCGGTAACTTCTAAGTTTTAAGAAGCTTATTCATCAAAGTTGGAACCTATATAAATTGACACAATATGTTTTGAACCTCTTAGTAATGAAGAAAAGATAACATTATTAAGAAGATTTGTGCTTATATTATGAAAAACCTAAGCATATTTCTCAACATTGTCCAAAGAAGCAATACAACCATAAAATAAGGAGCATGTTTGCCAAAGAAAATGTTGTGTTAGAAAAGAATTTTTTATTTGCTATAATAGAAACCAAGCGATTGAAATCTTGTACAACATCTAATAAAGATCATATTTTCTCCTTAAATCCCTCACTTTGTTTTACAATAGAAATTTGTGTAGGATCAAAAAATCACAAAGTTTTTAACTTATTAGATTTAGAAGCTTCAAATTATTTTAAAAACAAAGCCTTTGTTAAAAAATAAGAAATATTCTTAGTTAAGAAAAATAAATCCATACTTTTAAAAAAAAGTATAATTTCTTGAAGACTTCTTTATTGATTTGATCGCCTTTTGATATATACACCACATCCATTTTCAATGGTAGAAAGACTTTAAGTGCCATTCCAAGCTAGTACCAAGATTATTAAGATATTTTTTTAAAAAAGAATTTAAATATCCTTTCAAAAAATCATCAATATAATTATTGAATTGATCTTCTAGAAAGAATTCAACTACCATTCAGATCAATCTAGAGCTAATTATAAAATAAATTAGTTGTACTCAAAAGATACATTGAAAACTAAAATTTTAACTTTATAGATAAAAATTCATTTGTAGATGAAAATTTATTTTTAGATGATATATTATACTTGAATGAATATTAATTAATAGATAAAAAATTTTAGATAAAAATTAAATAAAAAATATCAAAAAATTGTTAAAAATTTGAGAACTTAAGATTTATTTATATTTTATGCATGATTGATTGTGAGTTGTTTTAGTAACCTTAAAAATGGTTTAAAGAACTTAAAAAGAGTTTCTTAATAAAAAATTAAAATATTATTTTTATATAATTAAATTATAATATAAGAATTATTATGGATTGAAATAGACTTCCAATTAATGGAAGTTTATTTTAATTCATAATGTGTGCAAACTATTAATGACTTAATAATATTACCATAAAAATAGGTATCTTTTAGCTTTGATTTCAAAACTTCTTGATAAATTCAATCAAGCCAATATCTTTACAAAAATAGATCTATAAAGAGTTTATAATTTGATATGCATCAAAAAAAGAAATGAATTAATTGTCATGCAATGGCTTCAGCATTAAATTATTCTATTAAATTATTTTTTGGCATTCTCAATGATAAGTCTTTGATAATAGTTTTTTATCATATCAAAATTGATTAGTAAGAGGTTATAGAAGATTTTTAAAATATTCTAATAGAAGATTGTAGAAAGAATTTAAAAATATTTTAGAAGATTTTAGAAGATTCTTAAAATATTTTGTAAAATTCTAGAAAGTTCTAAGAAATTTAAGAAATTTATCTAAAAAGCTTCATAGGGTTGCTTTGTCGTCAAGCAATATGGAAACTTCTCAAAAAGCTTCCTAATATCTAATATATATTAGAATTGAGGCTAGAAGGATCTTTAGTCATGATAACACATTTCTTAGAGCTCTAATTCATCTCTTTTTTGTTGATCTTGTACTTATTTGGTTTAATCAAATTCTTGCAAGCTTTTTGATTGAAATTCTTCTATTCAACTTCTTATTAAGTCTTTA